GTTTTCTAAAAGTATTTCACTGTGGGTGGCAAAGAAGAATACAACTTTATAAGGAAGACAATGGCGTACATACCAATGTTTTGGATGTATATCGAAAGACTTTGTAAACAGATACCAAGGGACTGTACACACAAAATTTCCCTATTATTGTGTTGTGTTGTCACGAGGCATCTCAAGGGCAAGGAGGTGTGGGTGTATTGTTGCTCTAAGATGGTAAACTTCCACCTGACTCAGTTGTTATTTGAGAGGCGGTGAGTGAGGGATAAAAAGTTGCAGTGTCTTGAAGAACTACTGATAGCCTAAGCGGTGCTGTTCTCTCATGACCTCTGCTCTTGTTGAACACCCGGACGCTGTGTTATCCTCGGAGTTCTATTACATGTTCTTTATAATACTGTATGTTATTTTTGGATCACCTGAATAGTAATCCCTCCAGCTTATTTCACCTAAAGTTTAACAAACCCTAACGCTACCTGGGGGGGGGGGGGAGGTTAGTTTAGTGTTAGGGCGGTAAATCTAAGGTAACAGAGTTGAAGGATGAATCTTCAGCAGTTTCTCATTTATAATCATATTGTATTTTATTGCGCATGTAATGAATTCCCAGCAACTCAAATACTTTCTTTAATCCTGTCAAGAATATTAAGGCGTATTCCAGCACAGAGAGGATCATGAACTTGTAGTTGAAGGATACGACGTTATACTCAATTTTTTGTCGAAGCCTCATCTGTTTAGACTAGTGCACATGAACTTAAGTCTTAGCGTAGCGTCATAAGTAACCGAGGTGTGCTTTCCTTATTTTTGTTGTACCTTATTTACCTAATGACCACTCAAACTAGAGGTGGTCGCGCCGAGGAAGGAGGCCACTGACTTATGTAGGATCCCTCTAAGTCTAGTGTTTTTGATAGTCTTGTCAAGGGATGTTTTGAAGCCCGGTACTATTTTCTATTCCCCAGCTTCAGCTAGTAGACTTTTCCACAAGTCTTCTACCCTCTGTGCGAAGAAGAGTTTCCTTATATTCGTCCTGCGTGACATCTCATTCTTTCTCTATCAGGCACTGCTTCTCTCTTTATCAGTTCCCTCTTTTTTTCTCTTCCAGTGCATGTTTCTCTCTGTCTTCTTCTCCTTTCTTTCAATTTATCCTTGTCTATTATTCTCTCCCCCTTTTACTTTCTTTTCTGAACACTAAACACTAATATCTTTTACGTCCAGAAGAACGTTTGGTTGGGTTACTCTGGACAACACCAGTCCCGGATCAGGACTCTCGTTATTGCCGTACCACCAGCGCCCATTGGTATAACTAAGCATTTCGTAGGATAACGCAGTACCATAGACAATTCATTGAGGATAATGCCATGGGAGACACATTTATGTATAGGTTCAGTAGTTAAAGAGATTACATTTTCGTTTTTACTTCTCGGTTTTAACTTGGCGTTACCTAGGCAGTATTTCCTTATTTTCAAATCTGAGGTTTTAGGCCTACTCTTTAATCTTCCTAAGCCTGAAGTCTTAAATATTATTATGGAGAGTCGAGTTTTGTGGCCGAGCGGAAGAACTTCTGTTGTGGTGGCCTTGACAGTCGGCTGAAGAACAGTGAGCTTATGTAACATCAGATTCCTTAACAAGTTAATGACTGTAGGCCTTGGTCACTATAATAACATATGTAAGCCTGTGTGTTTGTCTTGTTCTAAGTCCTGGTGTTGGTACTCCATATTCATAAAGCATCTGCTCCAAAACTCGTTGAAGCGTTGTTTTTTAACCATTGACAGCTGGAGCTCCAGTCACCGTTGCCAGCAGATTATTCCATTTTTTGTAACTCTAACATTGATATAACGTTTCTTGTGGCCCGTCTCCATACATCGTGCGTGTGTCTCTGTATATCTAGAACAGCATATCGCATATGCCCTTGTATATATTATATATGTTACAATCGAGCAGTGTAATCAGACATTTAACGAAAAGACAGAAAATTCTAGTCGTTTCCTGAAATTAATAATATTTTCAGTCAACAAAGTAAATGCATTCAACATTATCATACGAACAAAGGTTCCAAGGAAATCAGGTGACCTGTAACTTCACTGACCAACACCCGCACTGACACTTAACCTCATGACCCCCAGTGACGCGTCATCACTTCCACATTGACTGTCACCCTCGTCACACACGGGATGTTGACCCCAGTTAGCTGAGATATTAAGCGCACTGTAAAGTGGCTCATATTAAAAAAAACATATACTCTACTGTATATGTTTATGCAGCATATCAAAACTACCTAAAGAATAAAAATTTCGTAATGAATATGACAAACCTACACAATTTTAACTCATATTTTTTCAAGTGTTTTAAAATAGTGTAAATACTAACCCTGTTACGCACTTGAAGACCCTCGTTGTTGAAGCGCAGTAATAACATCACTACAACAAATCCACCTTCCCACTCCACAATAAGGAAGGCTGACGAACTTGACTGTCTCTCCACCTCGAGCACACAAATAATAAAGACGAGAACTTTCTATAATATATTACTTTATTATATTATTAAATTCGAGTTTTTATAGTTTATAATATATCAAATGTTAATGAAACAAAATAAAACGTTCGTAACTCTTCAATCAATTCATCAATCAATCGGAGTACCGTCCTCATATCTGCGGGCTGGCAACCACACCCCCTCCACTCTAAACGTTCTCGGGCTGGGGTTTTTACCAGTCATCCAAGGTTGTGTATCTATCTGAGGACCCAATAATCTTGTTTTCTCAATTACAGATGTATCTTATTCCTTCCACACTTAGCTGATGTTAATGACTAGTGGGCCAATAGAATGCCACTGAAGGGCCAAATGGTCCACCACAGAAAGAACCTGGAAGTAAAATCAAATTAACCCGATCGGCATTTTAAAATGGCCTGTACAGTACGTGCTTTGTTATAACACATTAAATAATTGTAATACAGTATAATAAAACTCACACGTGGAATAATTATATAAGCTTCGTCAAAACGTGATAAAAACACATCAATAAACTGGCTAATGTAGAGAGTGATAGAAGTGGTGAGAGACCCGGCAAGGTGGACAGCCCGCCTGCTTTCAATCTCCCACTGCCTCGCTTTACCTTCCTCATACACCTTCTTGTATTTTACCTTCCTCATACACCTTATTTTACCTTCCTCATACACCTTCTTGTATTTTACCTTCCTCATACACCTTATTTTACCTTCCTCATACACCTTCTTGTATTTTACCTTCCTCATACACCTTATTTTACCTTCCTCATTCACCTTCTTGTATCTTCAAAGTCAACGGCTTTCTTCTCTACATCCCTACTACCACTAGTGAGAAAAAAGATAGAGGTGGTAGAAATAGTATGAGAAAATGTGGAAGTGGTAGAGAGAGTGAGAGAAAAAATAGGTAAAGAGTGGATGAATGGAGATGATGGGGGAGAGTGAGGGAACAAGGGAGGTGAGAGAGCGAGAGATAATAAAACATCATCTGAGGAAGGTCACACCTGGTGAGGGGCGGAGTTATCCTCCTTTTTTTTCCTCTACCCTTCCCTCCCGCCCTCCCTCCCTCCTACTTCTTTCCTATAACCTCGCTTCGTCTTTCCTGTCTTTTCCTCCTGGCTTTACTTTTATTTCACTCTTCCGGGTTTCCTCTCCCCTCTTTCTTTACTTTCTATTCCATCTTTATCCCCTTCCTCCCTCTGCCCTGTGGTTAGGATCCATCAACAGGTGTCACGTTGGGTATGAGCCAATCAGCGCATGCAATGCCCCCATACGCGTGGAGGTGGCAGGTCTGTGTGCACACCCACACACATATATAAACAATGGCGTGAGGCACTGATCCTACCAGTCGTTCGTCAGTACCGTGCTGCGCCGCGCGCCATCCCTCCTCCTCTTCCTCCTCCCCACGCCTCCACGCCCCCACGCCTCCGCTTAACACCGCTGCCACGCCCTCCGCTGCTAACAAGACCCCTGCTTCATCTTACAGCAAATCTTCATCCTCGAAGCAAAACAAGAGGCTTCGTTTTTACTGCTGCACGTGTCATCCTGTCTACCATACTCTGAGGTGACCTCCATCTCTTAATTGTGGTCCTCTTATTAAGTCTAAAGTATCGGAGACCTTTTGGAATGACAGTGAAGTGTTCCACTCCTGTGTTAACTGTGAAAGTATAGAAATTATAAGAACAATAATAATTATTACTGATGAAGATAATCGCTGGGCAGAAGTTGTTCTAGACAGAGGAGATCTTTGAGTTGTTAAACACGACAAAATTAAGTGTAAAGTGTCAACTTATATAAATTGTTTCACTTCTAATGTTGACTGTAAAGTATGCAGTGTGTTCATCTGACTGGTGAGGGATTATCCTGTTAACCAAAATCTCTCATTCAAATTACGTTGATTTTTATCGTACTTCTGATATTGTTAGCGTTTGTATGTCTCAGTAGCAGATCTTCCAAGTCTCCAATAACTCTCTACTAACCCAAGAACAAAAAACTTAGAAAACTTCTTACTGAGAACGTTAAAAAAATATGTATGAATATACCTCAAGAATACTCACACAAAACTTTGATTGAATTTATTTAACTTGCAACAATAATCAACAAGAATTACAAGTGCTTTAAGAAAATTGGCGGTGAGTGTGAGTCACTTGTTCTTGATTTAAACTTATTCTCTCGTCCTTCAGGTTGTTTACGATTCATGTTAAGTTTTGATGTGGCGACCTGAGAACTCTGTCTATTATTGAATCAGGATCAAGACGTTTAACCATCTACCTGAACTCTAGTTATCTACATCGAGGCACTGAACCATTTACCTGACCTTTTATCTACATCGAGGCGTTGTACCATCTACCTGACCTCTAGTTATACAGACCGAAGCGTTGGACCATCTACCTGACCTCTAGTTATCTACATCGAAGCGTTGGACCATCTACCTGACCTAGTTATCTACATCGAGGCGTTGGACCATCTACCTGACCTCTAGTTATCTACATCGAAGCGTTGGACCTCTAGTTATCTACATCGAGGCGTTGAACCTTCTACCTGACCTCTAGTTATCTACATCGAAGCGTTGGACCATCTACCTGACCTCTAGTTATCTACATCGAAGCGTTGGACCATCTACCTGACCTCTAGTTATCTACATCGAAGCGTTGGACCATCTACCTGACCTCTAGTTATCTACATCGAGGCGTTGGACCATCTACCTGACCTCTAGTTATCTACATCGAGGCGTTGGACCATCTACCTGACCTCTAGTTATCTACATCGAGGCGTTGAACCTTCTACCTGACCTCTAGTTATCTACATCGAGGCGTTGAACCTTCTACCTGACCTCTAGTTATCTACATCGAGGCGTTCAACCATCTACCTTATCTCTAGTTATCTACATCGAGGCGTTGAACCTTCTACCTGACCTCTAGTTATCTACTGTACATCGAGGCGTTCAACCATCTACCTTACCTCTAGTTATCTACATCGAGGAGTTGAACTATTATCCTGGCATCTGTCAGAGGATCGAGGCATCTTACCACTTCCTGAGCTTGTTGAAATCATCAGGTGTCGCTAGGTCACGGAGGGCGCTCAAGCAGGTCGTCGCGGGAATAGAGACGTCTAACAATCCACTTCATCAGAGGATCGAGGTGTCGAACTATCCACCTAGTCTCTCTAGCCTGCCGGTGTTGTCGATAGTGTGAGGGGGGCGCTCAAATAAGGTGTCGCAGGAGGACAGAGGCGTTGAACTATCCAGCTACCGAGAGATTCGAGGGTTGAATCGGGCGGTGTTCGTAGCGGACGCTCAAGATGTTGTCCCTACAGGAAATTCGCGAGTCGCTCAAGATAGCCGAGCACCTCGCCCACCTCTCTCTCACTTCCGGTAGAGACAGACAGGACTCGGACGTCCAGCAAGTGCCCGATGACCAGAAGCCCTACGTCCCGCCCAAGCAGCTGCTTCTGTACCTCGTCAGGTGAGTGTTAAATTAAACTGTTTATTCGAGCAAAATTAACGGATGTGAATTAGACAATAAGGTTATTCCTCAGTATGGTTCAGCCTTTTGACAACTGTGGTTTTCGTAAAAATGCACTAGATAAATAGAATCATAATATGTTTGGAAACATATTAGAGGGAGAGACAGACAAAAATAATAACGGAGTCAAACACAAACAAGGATTGTAATAAAGAATCTTTTCAGAAATCTAGGATAAAAAAAATCAAGAAAAACTCGAGACCTAAAACTTCGCAAAATAAAGTAAAATAAATAAATGAGTAAACCATTTGATAAACTGAGGGGAGGGAGGTGCCGGGAGCCAATCGTTCCTCACCACTATATTAACAGACAAGTGACGAAACTACTCTTTATTCCTCATGAAGACAAAACACTGAGTAAGGCTAACATTGATTCTTTTAGTAATTGATTATACACTTAATTCACTAATAGATAATAATTAACTTAAACAGGGGATCAATCATCACTAATACCCGAGTTACAAATTATAAAAAAAGAAAAGATATACAATATACCCAACCCATGTTATGGTGTACGGTAGTGTAGCTGAGAAACAATGATACACTACAACAAAATGTCGGCAAAGCTTGCTTGGTAATAATATGTTTTAGCGATTATAAAATGTAGAGGCTCAAATATAACGTTGGAAGATTGATGAAAAAAAAAGAAGAGCTGTGATGGTCAGTACTGATTAACAAGACCAATAGAGAACGAGACGTAGACAGGCAAGTGAGTGAGAAGAAAATGAAACCAAAAATTAACGTACAGCTACACAAGGAAGAGAGAGAGGGAACACCAGTGACGCCTAAATACCCCCTCAAGGTTCGTCAATTATAGTCCTAAGTATTATAATATTCCCCTTCTAACTACTTATATACTCACAATACTGTTTGTGTGTCATGCTATATAGAGATAATAGCGAAATACCGACGTTTATTACTGTATTATCTCTAATTGTCAAAAAAGTCATTCATACACACACGCATATATCACCTAGGAATTCCTTGTTATCTAATTTAAAACTGTTTACTCAATACTATGTACTTCACTAATCAAATGGACAAAAATCATACATGTATTTTGTTTTCTGGCGCGCGCTCACTCTGTCCGTTCCGCGTGGCTGGCGTTGACTTCCGCTTCCTGATACACCATCACCCTCATCATCTGGAAGTCAGAGATCAAGGACTTTTTTTTAACTGAAACTTCCAAACAAGGTCATACATGGAGGTAGTAATGGCTCACGTTTACAACCCCTCTTGTGTGTTAATTATTAGCTCAAGGCTTTCCTGTTGGTCTGTTGTGGTAAAGTTCAGGTGGTGGACCGAGCTTGATGGTCCAGATATGGTATGAAAACTTGGTTTTGTCTCCGGTGATAACCAAGTTCAAGGCCAGTGATAAGATGTATGACGATTAACACACACCAACGGGACTGTGTGGGCACGGCAAATACACGTCCAGTATATGTGTGTATACTGTATTTGTAGGTATGTTTGTCTGAATGTGTGTATGCCCAGGTAAGAGAAAAGATTACTTTGTCTGCACATTTAATACTATAATCCGTACATTACATCATCCCGGTGTGGCAACACTGTAGCGAGTCACTGTACACCCTGGCCGGGGGTCACATTACTTCCCCAGTCTGCCACACTACTACACTACCAACCTCAGTCTTAATCGTGTGCTGTTTTGCTGTAGTTCAGAAGAGAACACACTTTACACTGGTAGGTAAACTCGGTTTATTTTCCATGCCACTGTTTCTATAATGTTTTGGTAAGTTTAGTTAGCGTAACGCTCGCTTTTCCAAACCTGATTATTGACTAATGGATGTTTTCGCACTTGAGGAATAGTTATTTTTCATTTACAGTTTAACACAGCCATTAGTCAGCTTCTGCACGCTGTAGCTAATACTAGCACAGGTGCCGGGCTTCTCACGTTTTTATGACAGATAAACCATAAGAAACATTTGTAAGAATGGTTAATAGTGAAGTTTCATATACAGGAAATATAACAACTTTGCTCAACATGTTGATCATATTAATGAGTCCTTCCGCCATCTGTTATTGTTATCTTGGAAGTCTTTTCCCCGTTTCCCATATACTCCCTCGAAGTCCTTTTCCTTTCTGCCCGCGTTTTTTGTAATCAAGTTACCATGAATGGTAGTTTTACTGATCATAAAGTGCAAAAATTTTAGATTCCCCTTTCTTACGACACCTCCAGGGTCGAGTTTCTGAAAGACTCTTAGTTTTATCCCCATACTGGCGTTGCGGGTGTATTGTTATTCAAAAGTGAGAGATGGTATAAGACGTGTATAAGGAGCGTGGTAGAGGGTGGTGTGTTAAGGAGCGTGGTAGAGGGTGGTGTGTTAAGGAGCGTGGTAGAGGGTGGTGGGTTAAGGAGCGTGGTAGAGGGTGGTGGGTTAAGGAGCGTGGTAGAGGGTGGTGGGTTAAGAGTTGTGGTAGAGGGTGGTTGGTTAAGAATTGTGGTAGACGGTGGTGGGCTAACAGGCGTGGTAGAGGGTGGTTGGTTAAGAGTTGTGGTAGAGGGTGGTGGGTTAACAGGCGTGGTAGAGGGTGGTGGGTTAAGGAGCGTAGTAGAGGGTGGTGGGTTAAGAGTTGTGGTAGACGGTGGTGGGGAGGCGGTGGGTTAAGAGTTGTGGTAGAGGGTGGTGGGTTAAGGGGCGGTACAGTAGAGGTGGTGGGTTAAGGAGCGGTAGGGGTGGTGGGTTAAGGAGGTAGAGGGTGGTGGGTTAACAGGTGGTAGGATAGTGGGTTAAGGGGCGTAGTAGAGGGTGGTGGGTTAAGGGGCGTAGAGGGTGGTGGGTTAAGGGGCGTAGTATGGTGGGTTAAGGAGCATGGTAGAGGGTGGTGGGAGTTGTGGTAGAGGTGGTGGGTTAACAGGCGTGGTAGAGGGTGGTGGGTTAAGGAGCGTGGTAGAGGGTGGTTGGGTGGTAGAGGGTGGTGGGTTAAGAGCGTGGTAGAGGGTGGGTTAACAGGCGTGGTAGAGGGTGGTGGGTTAGCGTGGTAGAGGGTGGTGGGTTAAGAGTTGTGGTAGAGGGTGGTGGTTAACAGGCGTGGTGGTGGTGGGTTAAGGAGCGTGGTAGAGGGTGGTGGGTTAGGGTGGTGGGTTAGGAGGCGTGGTAGAGGGTGGTGGGTTAGGACGGGTTGGTAGAGGTATAGAGGGTGGTGGGTTGGGAGCGTGGTAGAGGGTGGTGGGTTAAGGGGCGGTAGAGGGTGGTGGGTTAAGGGTGGTAGAGGGTGGTGGGTTAGGGGCGTAGGTAGAGGTGGTAAGTAGGGTGGGAGGGTGTGGGTTAAGAGTTGTGGTAGAGGGTGGTGGGTTAGGGCGGGTGGGTGGTAGAGGTGGTGGGGTTAGGAGGCGTGGTAGAGGGTGGTGGGTTAGGAGGCGTGGTAGAGGGTGGTGGGTTAACAGGCGTGTAGAGGGTGGTGGGTTTAGAGGGTGGTGGGGTTAGGAGGCGGTAGAGGGTGGTGGGTTAGGAGGCGTGGTAGAGGGTGGTGGGTTAGGAGGCGTGGGGGGCGTGGTAGAGGGTGGGTTGGTGGTAAGAGGCGTGGTAGAGGGTGGTGGGTTAAGAGGGTGGTGGGTTAGGAGGCGTGGTAGAGGGTGGTGGGTTAAGGGGCGTGGTAGAGGGTGGTGGGTTAGGAGGCGTGGTAGAGGATGGTGGGTTAACAGGCGTGGTAGAGGGTGGTGGGTTAAGAGGCATGGTAGAGGATGGTGGGTTAAACGTTAGGAGATTTGATTTTTTATTGATTTTGCCGCTTTCAGCAGCTAGTTTATTGTGCACCCCACACTCATCCTGTGAGCGGTAGTTCAAAAGGATTACAGAGTAGAGTTTACAAAGGGTCATAATAATTAACCCCCGTGGTCAGGATACTATGGCACTGAATGATACACAGTATTTCAATTACATTATTTGTTTAGTTCTATACATAAAGGGTAACTTATTCACAACTGCGTGAGTACAGGCGTGCGAGGCAGTATGTCTGGCTGCACACTTTGTTATTCACATTTGCGTGAGAAGTTTTCAAGCATATTGTGTATTTGGTTCTATACATGAGAACTGATATAGTTACTAAGTGCAAAAAAGTTTATACACTCTTAATATGTCGGCTATCTTGCCATTAGAGATGAAGTGTTGTGCCATTTCACACACAGTGTGCTTGGACCTGTCCCTAAAATATTCTATCTTCACACGGTCGAGGACGTAGTGTTCAAGTGTGTGGCCATTTGTCTGGCCACACACCTTACATTTAGTCTTGTTTACATCTGCTTGAGGAACATACTGCCAGAGGTACCTATATCCTAACCTTAATCCTGTGGTTACAACATCTTGTAATCTAGTGATCTTGTTACTTGCTCCATATACATGTTTCACTTGATACATCTCATCGTGGTAAACTATGGATCGACTAGTGCCTGTTTGCACTTGCCTAATTGCGTCAAATTCATCAATAAGGAGGCGTGATAGAGGGTGGTGGGTTATGTGGCGTGGTAGAGGGTGGTGGGTTAGGAGGCAAGCTAAAGAGCGGCGGGCTAGGAATAGGAGGCGTGGTAGTGTGTGGTACAGTGTGGTGGGCTAGAACTAGGAGAGACATGAAGGTCAAGGTCTGGTGAACAACGCCTAGTTCACGTTCATCACGGTCACTAATGGACACAGGACGAACCTCACCTCTGCTTAGCACACTAACTCCTACTGTGTTAACTACTGCCATATCTTGACACTACAGCAAGATGGTGAGGCTTTATTTGAGTCATCGCTCTCTTTCTGTCTGGATAATACCCGTAAAAACATTGTCATCAAACAAATTCCTAACCTAACCCAACGTAACCTAAACTAAACTAAACTAACCCAACCTAACCCAAACTAACCTAAACTAATCCGACCTAACCTAAGTTAACTCAACATAACCTAGGCGAAACTAATGTAAACTAAGCCAACATAAATTAAC